CTGTGTGAACATCATGGTTTGTTAGGGGAATGCAGAATCTCTTCTTAACTAACTTGTGTTCAGGAGTCTTAAATTTACCATGGCTGTGGGCTGGTGTCCCACTAGTGTGTTGGTACCAACCCGCTGACCCCTGGGGTGTGTTTCTAGATAGAGCAAACAGGTAGGAGTTCTGGGTGGTCTGCTTATTCCCATACTTTGAAAGAAGGAATGTTCGAGAGTTAGAACTTCATAGTGACTGCCATGGAAAATTTACAATGCAGTGACAGATGGTGAGTAAAGATTGGGAAGGGTTTGTTCTACCTTCAGTGGAAAGCTCAAGATCTAGATGTCTTCATAATAGACTCAACAGTGCATTTCTGGAAAAGGGTTATAAATTCCTCTGCTCCATCCCAGTTATTAGAAACTGGGGACTCAGTCACAGTCGCCTCGCTGCCTTATCAACTGATACAGAAAATTACAGATAGTTTTTCTCCTTATAGCAACCTTTCTTGCAGGGTGAAGTGCCGCCGGTGGTCAGTATTTTCCAAATTTTACTATTTGCTCTCTTCCAAACCATGTCTAAATTGACAGCAAAATCTTTGATTATTCATCCAGGAGAACCTTTATCAGTATTACAAATAACATTAGGGCAGAAATTGATATATTTTACAGTATAGATGGTACTCACTAATACATGGCAGTATGAGAATTGCAGGTTTTGAAAGTTAGTAACATTTTTTCTTCATTCAGCTTGTGATCCACTATAACTGTTTCACTGCTTACCTGGTTATTCTCCATATTGCATTTGCATTTTGAATTTTTCTAAGTATACCACCACACTTTACCAAAATCTATCCTGTGGATTTTTAGATCATATCTTCAGTTTGTGAAAATAATTTTGTATCCTAGTCTTAGCAAGATGTTCTGCTTTCTTGGTTTGGTAGTACCAGACCATGTTCTGACAATGCCCTTTCCCGTTCCTTTTCAGTGAAAGTGTTAACCAGGAGCAGGAGGGGTCTGAACAGATCGTGTCCATGTCAGGTTCAGCTGGCACCCCACTGGAAATGCTCCCAGTGAACCATTGACTCAGGCTCTGAGGACAGATTAGTTCTGACTGCTGTACACACAGCCTGTAGATAAAGAGTGTCTGTGCACTTTCCTTTTGAGAGTAATGGGTGGGATGTATCAAGCACTACAGCAAAGGTGTATCGTCACATTCGGCTTTCCTTTCAGCACATCTCAAGTGCCCCTGTCAATAAAGGTTTCTTAAGAACAAATACCATTTTTCTTAGGGCTGCTAATTGACTTTGGATTCAGACTGTAAGGATTTTCTGTTCAGAAAATATCCTGATAAGCCTGGGGTGTTGTTAGCAGTGTTTCAGAAGTCTGAAAACGTAAGGAGCTATGTTTCTGTGCCAGCAGATCTTACTTTTCCCCAATGTTTTATTTGGTGGATGGCAAAAACAAATTCAGAGGACTCCTTCCACCATCTCAAAGGATTAAGGCATTAAGCCTCTTTCTCTAGCCTTTTCTAAACTTGTACAGCTGAAAGCAACCATACACTGATAAATACACTGATACCTTCTGGTGTGCCTCACTGCATGGACAAGGAAAGGGGATTGGACTGTTCTAGAGATTTATTAAGTGGCCCCCAGGTTTTTCTATGGTAGCATAGTTTAGAAGCTATTTGATGGCTATCAATATTAGAGTTTTGACAAGTACATTGTTTTATTTTGTTCCAGCAACCCAGAGAGCTGCCTCATTTCTCTCTCTCTTTCTAAGGAACCTTTTGTGTGTGAGAATATCATGTGAGTCCTACTAGGTCACAGTGCATAAACAGCTCAGCTGCAGTCCCTCTGCTCAGAGTATAGCACAGGCTTTGTTCTGCTGGGCACAGCAGAGGAGCAGGGAACAGCAGGAGGGTGATGCTCAGTGCTGTCGCTGCGGGTTTGATTAAATACTGATGTGCAGTGGCCTGTCAGGGAGACGTGACAGCTGCGCTGCCTCTGTCTGTCCTGGGTAACCCACCAAAAAGAGCGGAACGACCGCCCTGGTGGCTGGTGGGTTTGCCATCCATGTAAAGTGTGTTTACAGCGAGAAAGAACGTGTTCGTGTACAAAATCCAGTGCACCTCTTGGGCTGTAAATGTAGGGTACTACTCTCTTACGCAGTTTCTCCCTTTCCAATAAGACTTTCAAAGAGGACTCTGTCATCACAAAGTAAATTATTTTACAGTGTGAAAAATTTAGCTTACAGCATTCCAGGTCCTCCAGCTTCTTTTAGAGTTCCTTTTCCAGCAAAATGCCTTTTTTTTTTTTTTTTTTTTTTTTTTTTTGATGGGTCTGTTGGAAAAAAATAGGGTTTTTTTTTTTTTTTTTTTTTTAAAGTTTTTGGAACTTCAACTTTCCTCAAATTACAAATGTGCTGCTTATGTTCTTTGATTTCTTCCCTGTTCCTTACAAGTAGCTGATGGATGGAGAAGAGGGGGGAGAAGGTGAAATGGAGGAAGGAAAATAATATCTTTTCCTGTTCAGACAAGAAACAGGAGGAGGAAAGAGATTCCTTTGTCAGTATGCAGACCAGAGGAGAGGAGGAGCTGAGGGAAAGCAAGTTCGTGAGAAGGAAGTTACTTGTTCTGAATGTCAGTTGTATAATGGGGATCTTTTGTATCTACTGGCTCGGTGCCATTTCAGCATTATTTTGTGGTTCTGTGCTCTCAGCTGTGCAAAATGCATTGTGGGGTTACATTTTCTTTCTGCTGCATACTTTAAAATTTAAAATAACAGTAGGATTCTGTGCAGTCTCTGGAATTCTGCTTGATAACAGCAGAATTTGTTATTTTTGAAGAACAGGGCTGTTTTATAATGCTCTAGAAGTGTGACTGTTTGCCATGTTATTTAAAAAAATAACTTGAAAGCAGGAGTGATTTTAGTGTATTGTATTGTGTAACAGGCTGCAGCTGACGTGTGGGAATTAGTATTCTGATCTCTTAAACGTATCAGAATGGAATGCGAAGGTACCTTCCTTCTATTTATAAAATAAGATTTCTGTCAGGACTCATTACCTTAAGATCAGTCAGGAGATACTTAGTGGAAGACAAGATTGTGTGTTAAAGCTAATTGCTATCTAGTGTAATGTAGCTGCAGGTGGCCCTAGGGAACAGTCTCTGGGTCCCTGACTCAACGGTCACAGTAGAAAGTGATCTCCATCAGCCTCCTGTTTCTGCATCAGAAGCAGCATCCTTGCAAAAATACAGACGTAACAATTACGGGTTAGTTTAGGGCTTGTGGGTCCTGGGAAGTGAAGGAGGTGATGCAATATGGGTAAGCTGTGTAGCGTTAGATTTTCGTTTCTGACCTGTGAGTACAGAAAACTACCTGGAGAGGGCAACAGAGCAGCTCTGCAGCCCTGGACCCAGGGCTTACCCACAGCTCAGAGAAGAGGGGTTGTTTTAAACATAGCGTAAAAAAAGCGGAAGAGCTTTAGCATACAGCCGTCATCCTGTATTCTTCATGACAAAGAGGACTGGTGTGATAAAAATCTTGGCAGTATTTCTCCCTATTCTCCCAACAAATTTTAGCAGTTTGGTTAGCCAAAGGCTCTATCCCAAAAAATCTCTTTTTTTTTAAATTGCTTTAACATTGGCTCTATCTGTATGTCGTGACACAGTGTTGGGCAAAGCCTTTGTGTACCCGTAGTTGTTATGAAGTGTAGGCCTTCTTTCCATGTGTGAAATTTTGATCCTGTCTGGTCAAGGGGCTATCAGTATTTCAGTTTAATTTTTTTCCCTTGTATTTATATTTTTTAAATTTTTTTAATTGACATGTAGAAATCCTTTGGAGAGTTTTGGTCTTTGACAGTCGGATTCTGTTCTGGTCTGAGTCTGTTCGGATTAGTGGGACTTTTGTTTTGAGTTCTTTGGCAACATGATGAGGATCTAAGTGCGATTTGCAATTCTATCATAAAGGCTAAAGTTCATTTTTCTTAGTTCTTTCATGTTGTTTCTTAAACACTTCTTTAAGGCTTTATCCTTATATGAATTGTTTTATTCTGGAGGCTTCTGCAGGTGCTTTCTAAGCTGTGTGTGATGTAGCTTGTTTTCTTAGTGCTGCTACTCTTATCTGTTCATCTGAAACCTACTTAAAAAAAATCTTTTAGAATGTATTTATCCAGGAAATGAGATGGTTCAAGGTGCTTTGAAATACATCCATTCTAAGCACATCGCTGTCATACTGACATTAGGACATAGCTGGATATATGTTATATGTATAGCTAAAGATGGGGTTCTTTTTGCCTCGTATTCCCACAGTGTTGCCATGCGTTTCTTAGGCTTTGCAGCTGTGACTTGTGAGGGGGGAGTTTGTTCTCTTTGTTTTTTTACTGCTAAACTGCTATATAGACTTGTAATAAATAGTCACAATGCAGAACAAAGGTTTATAAATAAAGGGAGGAGAATAAATTCTCATCTCTTAACAGGATCTTTCTTACAGTGTTTAAAAAGAATCCTTATTTCGGGATTGCATCTAACTTTCACCATGAGAACACACTCCCTTGTCTATGTTTTTTTTTAAATTTGTGTTACTGATTAACTTGCAGCCTTGTAGTTACAGCCTCTATGAAGCATAGGGACAGAGATGTCAGAGCAAAACTGAACTCTAGGTTTTATTGTAATTAGACACCTCATAAAAAAATAGTTGGTTTTTTTTGTAGATAGGAATGTTTACATTTTAAGTCTATTTCTCTGGCAATTATCAATATGGTTTCTAATTACCTAGTAAACAAGTATGAAAACAGCTGCATCTCATGTCTACTGAGGATGCTGAAACATTATTCTTTCTTTTTACAGGTAGGAGAGTCAGTCTAACTTGGCAAGATTGTTTCCTGCCTGGGCCTAGGGCTCTGGGGGTTTTTGTGTCCTAATTTGTACTCGTTGGAAAGGCTCTTTTTAAATTTAGGGACTAATCCCAGTATTTCAGAGTAAGGAATTCTGAAAAATGATATCTACATTTTTTGTTTTTTAGGGTACCCTTGAAAGTGGAGCAAGCAAACAATGCTCGTGATGCCTTGGCTAAAACGGTGTACAGTCATCTGTTTGACCATGTGGTGAACAGGGTCAACCAGTGCTTTCCCTTTGAGACTTCCTCCTCCTTCATTGGCGTGCTAGATATAGCTGGTTTTGGTAAGTATACCTAAACAAAGATAGTTTTTAGTTGTCTGTTATTGCCACCAAAGATTCAGTGATAAATTCTGTGATGGAGGTGGGGGGAGTTTGTTTTTGGTGGTGGTGGGTGGGATGGGTTACAAGAAGATATCAAGAAAGGAAATAAAGCCTTGTTTTCCTGAGGTACGAGAATGCAGATGTGCTCTAGCTCTGCTAAGGTGGTCCAAGAACAGTGAAAAAGGGAACCTGTGGTGTTCAGGTCTTTAGGGCTGTGATATCCTCCGCCAGCCTGCTGTGACATGGATGTGTTTGTACGGTTTCGCTGTATGGTAGCATCTTGCTTTGGTTTGCTGCCAGATATAACTGTCTGTTATTTCTCATAGAAATATGATCAGACACAGTATTTTTAAATGTCTTAAGTGCAACTTTAAAATCTGTAAAAGCTTTTATTTTACTGAAAGAAACAGGTATGGATCTGAACACATCCTTAAATAGTATCACTGTTAATATAAATTCTTAGAACACTCGTTTACTGCAGAAGTTTTAACTTCTGTTTTTCAGAATACTTTGAACACAACAGTTTCGAACAATTCTGTATTAACTACTGTAATGAAAAACTGCAGCAGTTTTTTAATGAAAGGATTCTGAAAGAGGTATGTTGTATTTCATGTTATATTTGAGGATTTATTTTTTTTAGTAAAGAGATACTTAAGGTAGCACTGCTTTCCATAAGATTGCACATTATGCTTAGATTAAAAAAAAATTCAGTTGACAAACTGTTTCTATGGTTTGATATCTGGTTGTGTCAGGAAAGAGTATGGCTATTTGAAAACAACAGTCTTTTTTCTTCCTCTTTTTTACCATTCATGAAAATGAGACATCCAGGTACTGGACAATATCTCATACCTGATGGGAATATCTAGTTGCCTGGGCATGTCATTAAGGAGGCAGAGTTGGGTTGTATTAAGCTGTGGAAGGAAATTCTAAAATTTATGTTGATTCATGCTGTATTTAAAAATGTCTTCATGTTTACTTTAGAAAGCATTTTTGGTGGGTGAAAAAAAAATATATGATGAGTGGTGCTTTCTCTTTCCAACTTTTCAATTACTTTTTTTTTTTTTTTTTTTTTCCTTAGGAGCAAGAACTTTACCAAAAAGAAGGCCTGGGGGTTAATGAAGTGCGCTATGTAGATAATCAGGACTGTATAGGTGTGTACTTCTTGAAATTTGAAGCTATTCATTAGCATAATGGCGAAAAAAAGCTTCAAGTGGAAGAGGCAAAATATATGTAGCAGTAGTAATTTTATGCTTTTAATGACTGCAGCAACCTTGGGAATTTTTCCAGCTTTGTATAACATCCCAGTTCTGGTTGGTAACAGAGCCGTGTTGTCCTACGTTGTATAATGACTGTAGCTGGGACTTGTGCATTTCTTATGCATTTTCCTAAAAAACTAATTAGAAGTTCTAAATAGAGTAAATAAAGTGAAGAAGGGTGCGAGGGTGTCTGGGGAAAAATATTCCATGAATTCAAGAAAAATCCCATCCCATTACCCCCGCCTTTTTTTAGCCAATGAGCAAAAGAAGAAAATGAACTATAGGTGACAGGCTGTGGATGTTACTGCTGGTTTTACATTGCCACAGGGTGAAATACCAGAGGCTTAAGATGATGGTGTTTTTTTTTTTTTTTTTTTTTTTTTCCTCTGCATTCAGCTTGTGTTCTCCAAATTGGTGTATTGTGAACAAAAGTTCATCTTTTGTGTTTACGGTAATTTGCTTGTGGTGACTAGTTTGTCCTGGCTGAATCATAGAATCATGAAGGTTGGACAAGACCTCAAGGATCATCAAGTCCAACCATCAGCCCAACACCACCAACCCACTAACCCATGTCCCCAAGCACCACATCTACACGTTTCTTGACCCCCTCCAGGGATGGTGACTCCCCCACTGCCCTGGGCAGCCTGTTCCAATGCCTCATCACTCCTGCAGTGAAGAAATTTTTTCTAATCTCCAGCCTAAACCTCCCCTGGTGCAACTTGAGGCCTTTTCCTCTTGTCCCATCACTTGTTACTTTAGTAAGAGGCTGAGCAGAGGATTCAGAGTGCCAGAATTCAACATCTGTCTGGTTCTCATGAATTTCTGTAGCTCTGCTGAAAAAGTTTTCACTTCTTCAGGTAGGACTGTACAGTCCCTAACTCTGACTTAACTACAGACAACGCTTGTTGAGCAATCCTCTAGCTGTCTTGTGAAAAAAGCAACAGGAAGGTGTTTGGAGGAGGGAACGAAAGCACAGCAACAGGAAATAAGTGGCTTCTGTGGATGCAAACCTTGTGTCTTCTCGTGGTTGAATAATGTGTATATGAGCCTGAGCCTGTTCCCAGAAATGCTGCTGTAGTTTGGAGACTGTCATGTTTCTATAAAAAGGGTTGCTTCCCTCTCATTACATGTGTTTTGGGTTTTTTTTTTAAACATACCTCAGGATCAAAAGGGGTTCCCTGCTGGAAGACAAGGTCTCTCTGTGACTCATAGAGGGAAGATGACTCAGATTGGAGGGACTGTGGCCAAGTTGTTGCCTTTTCCTGCCATAGGAAAGGTTTAGGCAGCTTACCTAAGAATCCAAGTAGCAGTCCCTCAGTCATGACCCCTTTTACTATTCCAACCAACATATTACACCCCACTGCAGATTTGACAACGTTTCTTCTTTGTATGAGTTATGTAAGTTAATTAATTACAGCTTAGTTAAACTGCAGCATGTATGCCTTTTTTTCTGTTCTTGCATTGTCAGGAGAAAAGGATTTGCTACTGCCTTTTGAAGTGAGGGAGAAAAATAATGTTGATTTCTGTCGACATACGTTTCTGTTGAAGGTGTTGGACGAGACTGGTGACAGTGACCATGTAGAAATATGAACTGTCACAAAAGAGAGTGACATTATGTTGACATGGACAATTTTTAAACGCTGTGGAAGAATCTTAGAAACAGTTATTAGTATGTTAGAAGGTTTCGATGGAATGGTAGGCGCCTCTGTAGCTAAATGAGCTTATTCTGATTTTATAAGCCAATGCTTTGCCTCGAGGCTGTCTTTGTGCTTTGTATAGCCTCATGCTGTTTCCAGTCTGTGGTAAGAGTTCATAGGCATTGCTGCAGTGTTACACTGGTGAAAAGTTGTGAAACCACCACTGTATTGACATGTGGTGAAACGTGGGTGAAAAGCTTAAAAAAACCCCCAGCAATATAAGCAATTATCCCATAAAGACCTATGGTCGTACCACTGAATCATTTAGGGACCTTTTGGGAATGAGATTACTAAATTCAACTTGAGTTGAACCAGAGCAAAAATCAAACAATCCATGCCTAATCTTTTTTTCCTTGTTTTCCTTGTGTTAGAGTTAAAACTTGGTATGTACAGGATACCAATTAAATCAGCAATTCAGATATCTCAAATTAATTTGCAATGGCTTGTTGTGGTTTGTGTTAACAGCTTTCCCTAGGTACCCTTATGCAGAATCCGATCAGTAGCATTTTAAACTTGTAATATTCAGTTCTGATACGAGTTTATAACTTCAATTTTATAAATATATTTTGCTTTATTAATAGATTTGATTGAAGCAAAACTTGTAGGAGTACTGGATATTTTGGATGAAGAAAATCGTCTTCCCCAGCCAAGCGACCAGCATTTTACTTCGGTTGTGCACCAGAAACACAAGGACCATTTCAGGCTCTCGGTAGGTTTATTCTCGCTGTCTGTCTAGTTTTAATAAAACAGTTCTTGGAACAGTTGATAGTAACACTTCGATTTAATGAAAACCTTTCCTAAGAAATCTCATACCGCACCATATTCTTTTGTGAAGAACAAGTGTGATTATTAGGTTTGTTGAAAAGTTCACTGGAGGCTTAGGTCTTCTAGGAATTCTAATATCCTGCTG